ACAAGAAATATCGTGAGCTGCATGACAAGAATAACGGATTCATGCATCACCGGATCTCCACCAACCTACCCACCAGAAGAAGTACTCGACGAGCGCACACCTCGCCGCGAGTCACTAGAGCCAAACCCGATGTACGCAGCCATCGCTCAAAGGGAACCATCCGGAAGAGACACATGGTTCTTGGACAGTTGCTGCGGTCAGCACATGTGCTCCTCAAATCGCTTCGTCCAACGTGAGCAACGCCTCAACCGTGAAGTCGTCATCACCGTCGCCAACAACCAGAACATGCGCACACGACGACAAGGAGCGGTTCATCTTCAATCCCGCGAAACCAACGTGATTCTACAAATGTCGAAAGTACTGATTGCAAAAGGACTCGGCTACAACTTACTCAGCGTCAGCCAACTGATGGCAAAGGGAATTCATCTTGAAGCAGACAGCACCACGAAGGAGTTCAAGTTGTATAATGGAAAAGGAGGCCTCTACATCGGCAAAGCAGTCTTGAAGAATAACGTCTTCGTCCTCGACTCCGTTCCGGACCTCGGCACCACCTGGACGCACCCTCCAAATCTCGACTCCAATTTTAGCCCCGGAGGTTTCTGGTATTCGCACACGATACCTGAAGCAGAAAGAACAAGAGCATTAGCAGTGATACAACAAGCAGAGACAACAACATCGGCAGCCGCAGAGACAACAACATCGGCAGCAGCAGAGGCAACAACATCGGCAGCAGCAGCAACAACATCGGCAGCAGCAGAGACAACAACACCACCAAACCTCCCTGTAGCAGGTCCTTCGACGAATCGCCTGCGACCCCAGCGCAACAGCTGAATCCCACCCCACGAGCTGTTTACCGAAGTGCCAATCTCGTCGCCGACTTCTATTCCAACTCCGACCTTTACAGAAGATCACCAGGACACAGTGAAAACGAATCAAGATGGCATGCAAGATTGGGATATCCCAGCAACACAACACTCAACAACACGATAAGAGCGGGAGTCCTTGATAAAGACTCACTACTACTACCCGACGGACAAGAACTACAACGAGTCTTGAAGAATATGCTTCACCTGCCCTGAAGCAGACTTACCCCACCAGCCGTTCTTGTCTCACAACAATCTAAGTGCGCCAGCATACGCACCACTGGAGAACGTCTGCAGCGACAACTTATACGCCCGCGAAAGCGGAGAAGGAGCCTTCAACTACGTCATCACCTTCATCGACGCCGCCACCAGATACGTCTGGCACCTCAACCTTCCGAGTCGCGACATGGCCTTCGAAGCCTTCGTCGCCTGGCTTCCAGTAGCAGAACGGGAATCAGGAGTGAAGCTGAAAAGCTTCCAGTCAGACGGGGGAGGGGAATATCAGTCACAGCGGTTCAAGCAGTACTTGGCAGAAGGGGGCATCAAACGACTCATCTCTCTCCCCTACGCCCATCAACAGCAAGGCGTGGCAGAAAGGATGAACAGAACCCTCCAGACCACCATGCGCAAGCTACTACGTGGCATGCGGCTGCCCGACAGCCAATGGACCAATGCGATGGACCACGCTGTAATGCTGCACAACTTGCTCTCGTCATCATCGCTCCCGAACAACGCATCACCGCATCTACTGTGGACAGGAAAATTGGGCAACACAAAAATGTTACGAGTTTTCGGCTGCATGGTACAGTACCGACCGCACACTGCACGAGCCGGAAGATTTTCGCAACGAGCACATTGGGGACTACACCTGGGCATTGAAAAATATTACAACGCATGGAAGATTTTTTACGTCCACTCGAAGGAAACAGTAGCAGCACGTGATGTCATCTTCTACGAACAACTCAGCCTCAACACGTACCTGTACAACTTGGAAACCAACCGAAACCCCACAGGTGGCTTCCGTGGCGATAGGGCCTTCGCCTCGTTAGCAGAAGAAGCTGACTGGGATGAACAAAATGTGGACGAAGCATCGGAACAAGCCGGACCACTGCCTAATTTCTTACCTGATCCAGAAGCGGAACCCGAAGCAGTCTATCCCGAGGACGCAACTCTCCCCCGATATACACAGAGTGGACTGCAGATACTCGGCCTCGTCACCGCCGTCCACGGAGCAGCACCGCCTAAGGAGCCTGCCACAGTTCAGCAGGCTCTGGGGGGGGGCACAGAGAGAAATGGCGTGAAGCCATGGACAGAGAGCTAAAAGCATTAGAAGACCAAAATACCTGGAAGATTGTGCCCATCGCCCTGGCACGCAACAAGACCATACTCACCGTGAAAACTAAGGCAGACGGCACCATCGACAAGTTCAAAGCACGATGGGTCGTGCGCGGCTTCGACCAAGAACATGGACGAGACTTCACCGAGACCTTCGCACCTGTTAGTCGTCACACCTCACTTCGAATTATCCACGCGATAGCCGCCATGAAGCGGAAGAAGCTCCGTCAAATCGACGTAGCCAATGCATTTCTTTACGCACCAGTCGACGCTGAAATCTTCGTTGAGCAGCCACACGGTTCCCACACAGACCCTAATAAGGTCTGTCAGGTGCTAAAGTCCCTGTACGGCATCAAACAAGCTCCGAGACTGTGGCAACAATACCTACACGCCCGACTAATCCGCATCGGGTTCCGTCAAATGCCCCACGACCAAGGCATGTACCGACTCAGCATCGGAACCGACTACATCCTGCTCATCGTCTACGTAGACGATTTGCTCTACATAGGGTCTACCGACGACATTACAACCTCGTTTGAAGGGGAGCAACAGAAATACCTCACCCTCACCGTCTCGTCCACGGTAACCCAATATCTGGATCTCAACATCCAAAACGGCGAGAATGCAATCTAACTCAGCGCCGTTAAATACGCCGACACCATCGCAAAGCGCTTTGCTTTGTCACCAGCGACCATCTCCACGCCATACCGCTACACTATCGGGAATAACAAGGAAAGCTCCACTCCGCTCGGATCCGCCGGCATACGGGACTACCAGCGAAAATTGGGATGTCTACTATTCGCAGCCGTCACTTGCCGACCGGACCTATCATAATCAGCGAGCCAACTCGCCACCTACCTCAAGAAGCCCGAAGCAGAGCACATGGCGGAACTTAATCGCGCACTACACTACCTCGTCAGCACACCAACGGTCGGACTAACCTATCACAAGAGTGGAAGTACGACTCCGAAACTAATCGGCTACGTCAACGCAGATCACGCCGGCGACTCCGACAACAGGCGATCACGCACCGGCTACATCTACCGGCTAGAACCTATCGGGCCTATCTCATGGCAGTCGAGCAAGTAGGAACTGATTGCTCTCTCCTCAGCCGAAGCAGAATACATCGCACTCTGCTCAGCCACCAAGGAAGGACTCTATCTTCGCGAATTGTTGGAAGAAGCAAAGCTGGCCCAGTTACCCAGCTTCTCCCTCTTCTGCGACAACCAATCAGCTATCCGTATTGCAAACAAAAGCGGATTCGCGAACAGAACGAAACATATCGCCCTGCGATACTTCTTTGTGAAAGACGAGATTGAGAAGAGAAGACTCGAGCTGTCCTACTGCCCCACGTCCGAGATGGCAGCAGACTATTTGACCAAGAAGCTCGGAAAACAGAAGTTCGAGTACTGCATGTTGCTGACTGGACAAGGACACGTCACCAGTGATGACACTCTAGAAGCAAAGGGGAGTGTTGAAAACATATAAGTTTGCGCTTCTGATGTGTTGAAACACTGACTCATAAGCGAACCGAACTACAGCGAGACAATAGCGAGTCAACCGAGGAGGTTGACAAAATGCAACAGCTGGAGGTTGAGCGAAGGTCAAAGGTCATCGACCTTTGACTCACCAAATACAGTGCGACAGCAAGGACACACAACTGACTCGCTATTGAGCAGTTGCCCGAGTCGTCGCTGTATCGAACCGCAACAGCAGAAGTTACAATTACAGATACAAATAGCAGTTAATTAAACTTTTTGTATTCTCTTGTAATCATATAAAAGCTTGTATCTCTTTTTTTTTAATCAACTTATCTTGTCCTCATACACCAGCACAAGGTGGTTGAACTCATTCACTAAGAATCTTAGTCTTAAAACGATCCTAAGGGCTTCTCTCAGCCCAACATTGTTTAGGTGCACTCCAACGATTGGCTTGAATTATTCTTGAGGCTCGGCTTAGACGGTTCAGAAAGGTGTAAAGGTGTGACGTGGAACGTTCGCGAAACCTTGATGCGACGTACATTGCCCTAGGGTAGTCTTGATTGGTTTGCAGACGTCACCGTTGACTCTGAGGTGTAGCATCGAAGCGGAAAAATAAAAAATCTTTCCGTTTTTATTTTTACGACATTCACGAAGCTGTTTCCCCGTCTGTTATGTTTTCGCTAGTGTTCGGGTTGCTTCGCATGCCTCGTGATCACTGCATTCAAGTTGGTTTGTTTTTCTCATTCAGCAATACACAGGTAAACCGCCTTCAAACGCTTTCAACCACTGTCGCAATTTTCGTGCGAAACCATGCCATCTACTTCCTAGCTGATTCCGTGGATGCATTGCAACTAACAGCTTCTCGTCACTAGGAAGTTACCACAGCGTGACTTTTTTTGTGTATGTTAATGTGACATTTCCGGTGGGATATGTAAATGATCGCCCTTCAACCCTGCCAAGATGCAGAATAGGGGGTCGAGGGGGGGGGGGGGGGTGTCGAGAGAGAAGGAAAAAGGGAGGGAAAGGCAAGGAAGGGAAGCACGTTGTGGAGTGGAGGCGGTTTTTGCGGCGCCTCAAAAACGACCTCAAGGAAGGGAAGCACGTGGTGGAATGGAGGTGGGAAAACAGTGCGAACGATGAATCAAAACCACCATGGTGAACGCAACACTATGACGGACGCACCAGTACAACGATTCATAACACCAACCGTTACGCGGGAAGGAGGAGGCAAGCAGGCATGGGGGAGAAACGTCGCAAGGTGAGAGGGAGGGCAAGGCAAAGCAAGAAATAGTAAGCCTTTTGAAAGAAATAATTATGCAGTTTAACAACTCGTACAGCAAAAACTTACCGGTCCAACCACTGTTGGCAGCGGTCCCTGGTGAAGATAAACGGGCGGGGGGGGGGAGCACGGGTGTGGGGTGGCAGCAGCAGCACCCTGGCCCTCGGGAGATGATAACACCACGATTGCGCCCTTGTGAGACGCCGTCTCGAGGGTTGATGATGGCACCGCAATAACGCCCTTATGAGAGATCGTTCCAAGGGGAGATGATGACACCACAGTTGCGCCCTGCTGCCGGCTAATCGACGGGTCCATGAGGGCATTCTCGTTACTAGCAGACTCGATAAGAGCGCGGTGCCGCTGGGTGCCAATTTCTGCCTCAGCCAGTGCAGTGGGTGGCACTGTTGTCACAACCTCGATAACCCCTCCTTGCACATCTGCCCCCTCATCTCCCATCTTCTCATCCTCCCCCCCCTTCTCATCACCCCCCACCTCACCACCCTTCCTAATCCACCCCCCGTGTTCATCTCCCACCTTAGCATCACCCCCCTTCCCATCTCCCTCTGCTGGTGCAGCAGCATCAGCAGCCGCGCTGCCATTGCCCCCACCGCCCAAGGCACCACCACCCCTCTTCTCACCACCCTTAAATCCACCCTCCTCCTTTCCATCCCCCTCCTTTCCACCTCCCTCCACTCTTCCTCCCCTCTCCATCCCGTTCTCCTCCTCCCAACCCGTCTCCCGCTTATCCTCCATACAAGCATCTTCACCAAGTCTGCGGCCACCTTCCTTCAGAACACCATCTTTCACCTCCACCTCATCTCCATCCTCTATACAAGCATCTTCACCAGGGCTACAAACACCTTCTCTCGCATCACCATCCTCCCCTTCACCACACCCCCCCCCTTCCACCCCCACTTCCCCCACCTCCCTCTTCTTCCCCTCCTCCCCCTCTTCTCCCTCATCTCCCGCCTCTCCCGCTTCTCCCTCCTCCCCTTTCTCCCCCACCCCTCCCTCCTCTCCCACCTCGTCTGCTCCCATTGCACGGAAACTTCCGCCCCCCTCCTCGCCGCCTGCACTGCTCAACCCAGCTAGCACTTTTGTGAAGAGGGTGAGGAGGGTGAGGAGGGTGAGGAGGAAGAGGAGCCTCTAATCCCAGCACGAATCTGCAGTGGGAGGGGGGCTCTATTCCCCTCGCATATCTGTACTTCTTGCTTGACGGAGCCCATTAAATGACCCCTGACGCTGCTGCCACGTCATCCCAGGTTCTGTCTGCTGGCTGGACACGATCCAAGGGTGCCATGTCAGCATCTCCTTCGCTTCTACTCCCCAGGACCCCTGTAGCTTCCAAACCGTCAGTTCCATTCTGATCACCCCGGTCGCCTTGGTCAACCAAGTCAATCAGGTCAACGCGGTCGCTCTGATCACCTATGTTCCCCTCTTGGTCAACACGGTTCCCCTCATCCTCACTCCGGTTGCCTCTGTCGCCCTGGTCTTCACGGTCAGCGTTACTGTCCTTTCCCCTTCTCCCTGCCAACACCCTTCTCCCGCCTCTCCCCGGCTCTTTGCCTCTTCCCCTCCTGTCTCCATGCCCGCTCTTAGGCAACCGTTTTTCTTCCTTTCCATCCTCTTCCCCCGTTCCTCCCGCTTCCTTTCTAGTGTTACCCTTTTTCTCCTGGTTACCATTTTTTCGCGATTTTCGCGGATACCCTCTTTCTCCTCCCATTCCTGGCTCCCTTCCCTCTCCTCTGCGTCGTCACAGGCCAAGTCGATGACCGTTCGTGCTGTCCGACGCGTCGACACGCGAGTAAGGGACGCCAGCGCGTTAATGCTCTTTCGGCGATGGCTGGATGGTGACATTGTCAAACTTATACACTATAGTCTGTGTAGGCTGTAGTGGGGTAGCTCATATGGGGTACAACATTCTAGGGTTTGGTACTTGTACTCCTCATGCTGCTCAATGCACTCATTCTCGTTCCAACCTTCACATGGTATAGAGCAGGTTCCCTCGTGGGAACTGTTCCTAGGGCCCACCGTACGATTTTTTATTTTTTTCCTGCCCGGAGCGCGCTCCGCCCCTGCCCGAGTCGCGCTCCCCTCCCCTAGCTTCCCTTAGCAGCCCCGCCGCACCGCGCTTCCGGCCCCGGCGCCGCCTCTGCTGGCCCCGGCGCCCCACCGTCGCGACCCCGCGGCCCCACCCTCGCGTCGCCCTGCGCGGCGTCGTTGCAGCCGCCCGCGACCCCGACGCCGCCCGTCGCGACCCCGTCGCCCTTCGCGCCGCCCGCGACCTCGTCGCCGCGGCCGCCCGCGACCCTACCGCTGCAGCCGCCCGCGACCCTGCCGTCGCCGCCGCCCGCGACCCTACCGTCGCCGCCGCCCGCGACCCTGCAGTCGCAGCCGCCTGCGACCTCGTCGCCGCGGCCGCCTGCCCTCCCGTCGCCGCAGCCGCGCGCGACTCCTGTAGTCGCAGCCGCCCGCGACCCCCGTCGCCCCACCCGTGCGACCCCACCGCCGCCCTTTGCGGCCCCCCCTCGCCTTACCTTCGCGGCCCCGCCGAGCAGCCGAGCCGCCGAGACGCCGCAGCCGCCGAGCCGCCGAGCCGGCGTTGACGCCGAGCCGCCACTGCCGCCGTGCTGCCGAGCCGCCGAGACGCCGCTGCCGCCGAGCTGCCGAGCCGCTGAGCCGCCGAGCCGCCGTCCCTGCCGTCACGGCCCTGTTCCTGCCGGCGCGCCTCGGTCCTTCTCGCCTGCCCGGTAAGAGCAGCGCCTCCACCACTGCTCTGCCCTAGCCTGCTGCTCTCACTGCTAGTCTACTGCTGTCATGGCTTCCCCCAGTGTCCTCACCTTTGACGCTGAGGGTCGGGCCATTGACTTTGACGTCTGGGTAGATGACCTGCAGCTTTTCCTACTGAGCGACAGAGCAGACGGCCTCTCCCTTTTTGACCTCACCTCTGGTGCCTCTCCTGCCCCTGCTGCTGATGCTGACCCCACTGTTCGCTCCCAGTGGGCCACACGCGATGCTGCTGCCCGCCTTGCTGTGCGCCGCCACTTGCCGACCGCTGAGCGTGCGCACTTTAGCCAGTACAAGAGTGCTAAGACCTTGTACGACGCTGTAGTTGCACGCTACTCTTCCCCTGCCACTGCTGCGCTTAGCCGCCTCATCCTACCGTACCTCTTCCCTGACCTCGCCGCTTTTCCCACTGTCGCTGACCTCATTACGCACCTTCGCACTAGTGACACTCGCTACCGCGCTGCGCTTCCTGCTGAGTTCTGCGCCAAGAACCCCCCCCCCATGTTCTACTACATAGTCACCCGGCTCCCTGACACCCTTTGCCCAGTTAGGGACCACTTCCTCTCTGTTTGCCCCACCACCCTCACCGTTGACCTCCTCGAGGAGCGCCTGCTCGCGGCAGAGAAGAGCATAGTCGCAGTAGGTGCCTCTCGTGGTGACCCTCGTACCCCTGTCTTTGAGGGGTGCTCCCCCTCTCCCCTCTTGCCCTCTGTTGCCTCTGCTGCTGCGGCCGACCTCGTTGGTCTTGAGTCGGTCGCTGCGGCGTCTGCTGTCAGAATGTTATTGTCTAGCCTGCAGTGGGGTGCTCAATAGTGAGTACAACCCCTTAGGGTTTCCTATTTGTACCAACCTGCTTGCTAGTTCAACCATCCTCATTCTCATTTTTCTTCTTCAATTCTCCTTCGTATACCCTAAACCCTAGTTCTAGGGCACACCCTACCTACTCTATGTGTGGGCCTAGGCTACTAAGCCTAGGCCCCACTCCTAGTGATTCTGACATGGTATCTAGAGCGAGCATGATCCTGCCGCCTAGCTCAACGGGCCCACCAACTACTTCCGCTGCCGTACTTTCCGCCGCGCGCTCCGTGGTGCGCGGCGCTGTATTTTTCTTCCCGCCGCGCGCTCCGAGCGCGTGGCGGCTTTTTCTGCCCGCCGCGCGCTCGGGGCTCGCGGCGGCTTCACCGTCCGTCGAGGCGCCCTCCGGGGGGGGCCTGCCCGCTGCTCCCCCCCCGTCGCTCGTCGCGGCACCTTCAGGGGGCCCGCCCACTGCTCCTCCCCGTCGCTCGTCGCGGCGCCTTCAGGGGGCCCGCCCGCTGCTCCCCCCCGTCGCTCGTCGCGGCGCCTTCAGGGGGCCCGCCCGCTGCTCCCCCCGTCGCTCGTCGCGGCGCCTTCAGGGGGCCCGCCCGCTGCTCCCCCCCGTCGCTCGTCGCGGCGCCTTCAGGGGGCCCGCCCGCTGCTCCCACAGTCGCCCGTCGCTCGCGCCGCCGCCCCTCCTGCAGCTCGCGACGCCGCCCCCACAGCAGCTCGCGACGCTGCCCCTGCAGCAGCGCGCGAGCAGCCCCTGCGCCAGCGCGCGAGCAGCCCCTGCGCTCGCGACGCCGCCCCTGCAGCGGCGTGTGTACCGCCCCTGCGCCAGTGACCCGCCCCTGCAGCAGCCGCCCCTGGAGCAGCCCGCGTCGCCGCCCCTGCAGCAGTGCGCCAGCCGCCCCTGCAGCAGCGCGTGTGCCGCCCCTGCGCCAGCGACCCGCCCCTGGAGCAGCCGCCCCTGGTGCAGCCGCCCCTGGCCCCTGCGACGCCGCCCCTGCAGCAGCCGCCCCTGGAGCCGCCCACCGCTGCAGCAGCCTCCCCTGGAGTCGCCCGCCTCTGCAGCAGCCGCCTCTGGAGCAGCCGCCACTGGAGCCGCCGCCCCTGGTGCAGCCGCCCCTGGCCCCTGGAGCAGCCGCCACTGCTGCAGCTGCCCCTGGACCTGCGCCGCCGCCCCTGGAGCAGCCGCCCCTGGTGCAGCCGCCCCTGTACCCGCGACGCCGCCCGTGGAGCAGCCGCCCCTGGTGCAGCCGCCCCTGGACCTGCGCCGCCGCCCCTGGAGCAACCGCACCAGCAGCAGCCGACCATGCAGCTGCCCGCGACGCCGCTCCTGGACCCTGTGCAGTCGCGCTCAGTCTCACTCGTGCGCCCTACCCTACCTGCTCCGCGCTGTTGCTCTGCACGCGCGGTTGCCCGCGCCCTCGTGCGCTCTACCCTACCTGCTCCGCGCTGTTGCTCTGCACGCGCGGTTGCCCGCGCCCTCGTGCGCTCTACCCTACCTGCTCCGCGCTGTTGCTCTGCACGCGCGGTTGCCCGCGCCCTCGTGCGCTCTACCCTACCTGCTCCGCGCTGTTGCTCTGCACGCGCGGTTGCCCGCGCCCTCGTGCGCTCTACCCTACCTGCTCCGCGCTGTTGCTCTGCACGCGCGGTTGCCCGCGCCCTCGTGCGCCCTACCCTACCTGCTCCGCGCTGTTGCTCTGCACGCGCGGCTGCCCGCGCCCTCGTGCGCTCTACCCTACCTGCTCCGCGCTGTTGCTCTGCACGCGCGGTTGCCCGCGCCCTCGTGCGCCCTACCCTACCTGCTCCGCGCTGTTGCTCTGCACGCGCGGCTGCCCGCGCCCTCGTGCGCTCTACCCTACCTGCTCCGCGCTGTTGCTCTGCACGCGCGGTTGCCTGCGCCCTCGTGCGCTCTCCCGCCCCGGCCCTCCCCCCCCCCCCCCCCCCCCCCCCCCCCTGCGTCCCCTGGACAGGAGGGTGTGGGGGTGGCGGGTGTGGGGGTGCTCCTTGTGCGTCGCCCCTACCTTCTCCTCCGTCTCCCACTGCTGCAGCTGCCGCTGGGGGGGGGTGGATGTGTGGGAGACGAGGGAGTGGCGCTAGGGGGGTGATGTGGGAGTGGAGCTAGAGGTGACACTGGGGGTGTGTGTAGGGGGGTGTGGGACAGCTGGAGGAGGTTGCAGCACCTGTTGCCCGTGTGTCTGCAGCTTCAGTCGTCGTCTCCAATCTTCTCTCCCTTCACAGTTCCTCCTCCTCCTCACTTGCCCTCTGTGATAGCCTCTAGCTTTGCTCATATTTGTGAACTATTGCACTGCCTGCTCATTGTGCTGATTGCACCCCACTTTGGCTATGGGGGTGTGTCAGAATGTTATTGTCTAGCCTGCAGTGGGGTGCTCAATAGTGAGTACAACCCCTTAGGGTTTCCTATTTGTACCAACCTGCTTGCTAGTTCAACCATCCTCATTCTCATTTTTCTTCTTCAATTCTCCTTCGTATACCCTAAACCCTAGTTCTAGGGCACACCCTACCTACTCTATGTGTGGGCCTAGGCTACTAAGCCTAGGCCCCACTCCTAGTGATTCTGACATGGTATCTAGAGCGAGCATGATCCTGCCGCCTAGCTCAACGGGCCCACCAACTACTTCCGCTGCCGTACTTTCCGCCGCGCGCTCCGTGGTGCGCGGCGCTGTATTTTTCTTCCCGCCGCGCGCTCCGAGCGCGTGGCGGCTTTTTCTGCCCGCCGCGCGCTCGGGGCTCGCGGCGGCTTCACCGTCCGTCGAGGCGCCCTCCGGGGGGGGCCTGCCCGCTGCTCCCCCCCCGTCGCTCGTCGCGGCACCTTCAGGGGGCCCGCCCACTGCTCCTCCCCGTCGCTCGTCGCGGCGCCTTCAGGGGGCCCGCCCGCTGCTCCCCCCCGTCGCTCGTCGCGGCGCCTTCAGGGGGCCCGCCCGCTGCTCCCCCCCGTCGCTCGTCGCGGCGCCTTCAGGGGGCCCGCCCGCTGCTCCCACAGTCGCCCGTCGCTCGCGCCGCCGCCCCTCCTGCAGCTCGCGACGCCGCCCCCACAGCAGCTCGCGACGCTGCCCCTGCAGCAGCGCGCGAGCAGCCCCTGCGCCAGCGCGCGAGCAGCCCCTGCGCTCGCGACGCCGCCCCTGCAGCGGCGTGTGTACCGCCCCTGCGCCAGTGACCCGCCCCTGCAGCAGCCGCCCCTGGAGCAGCCCGCGTCGCCGCCCCTGCAGCAGTGCGCCAGCCGCCCCTGCAGCAGCGCGTGTGCCGCCCCTGCGCCAGCGACCCGCCCCTGGAGCAGCCGCCCCTGGTGCAGCCGCCCCTGGCCCCTGCGACGCCGCCCCTGCAGCAGCCGCCCCTGGAGCCGCCCACCGCTGCAGCAGCCTCCCCTGGAGTCGCCCGCCTCTGCAGCAGCCGCCTCTGGAGCAGCCGCCACTGGAGCCGCCGCCCCTGGTGCAGCCGCCCCTGGCCCCTGGAGCAGCCGCCACTGCTGCAGCTGCCCCTGGACCTGCGCCGCCGCCCCTGGAGCAGCCGCCCCTGGTGCAGCCGCCCCTGTACCCGCGACGCCGCCCGTGGAGCAGCCGCCCCTGGTGCAGCCGCCCCTGGACCTGCGCCGCCGCCCCTGGAGCAACCGCACCAGCAGCAGCCGACCATGCAGCTGCCCGCGACGCCGCTCCTGGACCCTGTGCAGTCGCGCTCAGTCTCACTCGTGCGCCCTACCCTACCTGCTCCGCGCTGTTGCTCTGCACGCGCGGTTGCCCGCGCCCTCGTGCGCTCTACCCTACCTGCTCCGCGCTGTTGCTCTGCACGCGCGGTTGCCCGCGCCCTCGTGCGCTCTACCCTACCTGCTCCGCGCTGTTGCTCTGCACGCGCGGTTGCCCGCGCCCTCGTGCGCTCTACCCTACCTGCTCCGCGCTGTTGCTCTGCACGCGCGGTTGCCCGCGCCCTCGTGCGCTCTACCCTACCTGCTCCGCGCTGTTGCTCTGCACGCGCGGTTGCCCGCGCCCTCGTGCGCCCTACCCTACCTGCTCCGCGCTGTTGCTCTGCACGCGCGGCTGCCCGCGCCCTCGTGCGCTCTACCCTACCTGCTCCGCGCTGTTGCTCTGCACGCGCGGTTGCCCGCGCCCTCGTGCGCCCTACCCTACCTGCTCCGCGCTGTTGCTCTGCACGCGCGGCTGCCCGCGCCCTCGTGCGCTCTACCCTACCTGCTCCGCGCTGTTGCTCTGCACGCGCGGTTGCCTGCGCCCTCGTGCGCTCTCCCGCCCCGGCCCTCCCCCCCCCCCCCCCCCCCCCCTGCGTCCCCTGGACAGGAGGGTGTGGGGGTGGCGGGTGTGGGGGTGCTCCTTGTGCGTCGCCCCTACCTTCTCCTCCGTCTCCCACTGCTGCAGCTGCCGCTGCGGGGGGGGTGGATGTGTGGGAGACGAGGGAGTGGCGCTAGGGGGGTGATGTGGGAGTGGAGCTAGAGGTGACACTGGGGGTGTGTGTAGGGGGGTGTGGGACAGCTGGAGGAGGTTGCAGCACCTGTTGCCCGTGTGTCTGCAGCTTCAGTCGTCGTCTCCAATCTTCTCTCCCTTCACAGTTCCTCCTCCTCCTCACTTGCCCTCTGTGATAGCCTCTAGCTTTGCTCATATTTGTGAACTATTGCACTGCCTGCTCATTGTGCTGATTGCACCCCACTTTGGCTATGGGGGTGTGTCAGAATGTTATTGTCTAGCCTGCAGTGGGGTGCTCAATAGTGAGTACAACCCCTTAGGGTTTCCTATTTGTACCAACCTGCTTGCTAGTTCAACCATCCTCATTCTCATTTTTCTTCTTCAATTCTCCTTCGTATACCCTAAACCCTAGTTCTAGGGCACACCCTACCTACTCTATGTGTGGGCCTAGGCTACTAAGCCTAGGCCCCACTCCTAGTGATTCTGACATCTGCCCCTAGCGGGAGACGCCGCCCTGGCAAGGGCAAGGGGGGCAAGGGTGCTGGAGGGGCTGGAGGGGGCGGTGGAGGCGGAGGTGGAGGTGGTGGAGGGGGTGGGGGTGGCGGTGGGGGTGGTGGCGGGGGTGGGGGCGTCGGTGGCGGGACTGGAGGTGGAGGTGGAGGCGGCGGTGGCGGTGGGAGCGGAGGTGGCGGAGGTGGCGGTAGTGGAGGAGGTAGCGGCGGAGGCGACGGAGCTGGTCGGGGTGGCGCTTCGCAGCGGGGTGGCTCCGGTGGTGGTGCGCGCCAGCAGCAGCAGCAGCAGCGTACCCGTGAGACCCCTTCCCCCCAGCAGCTTCGTGAGTGGTACGCTGCTCGTCAGCGGGGCGGGGGTGCTGGCCCCTGCACCTACGTTCTCCGTACCGGCGACCGGGCGGGTGAGCAGTGTGGAGGCCCGCACCCCACCCAGCGCTGCTTCGGTCGTCTGACAGACGCGTGGCGCCACCAGTTCCCCGACGCTACTGAGATCCCTCGCTGGGGCGAGCTGTCTAGGGCGGGTGTTGCAATCTATGATCTTGACTTTGATGCTATTCTTGCTGCCATGTATGCTGTGACTATTAGTGATGAGGGTGACTGTTACCGGTGTTTCCCGCCTGACCCAGGCATAGAGGCTGCTGCGCTAGGTACTTGTGAGGCTGCTGCTCTAGGTGCCAGTGCGTCTGCTGCCCCAGGTGCCGGTGAGTTTGCGCTCTCAGGTGCTGCGTCGCCCCCGGACACCCACACCTTCACCCTTGACTCGGGTGCTTCCCGCTCCTTCTTTCGAGACTGCACCACTCTCACACCGCTCAGTCGGCCTGTTGCGGTCTCCCTGGCGGACCCCTCTGGGGGTCCTGTCCTTGCTCACTACTCCACTGTCCTACCGTGTCCGGCGGTCCCGTCTGGCTCCCTGTCGGGTCTCTACCTCCCCTCGTTCTCTATGAACTTGGTGGCGGGTGCTGACCTCCAGGATGCAGGAGTTGACCAGTTCACCCCTGCGCGTCAGCGGGTGACCCACTGCACGTGTGCGGACACGGGCCGACACTTGGCCACGTTTACCCGTCGGCCGGGGTCGAGCCTGTACACACTGACCACTGAGTCTCCTCCAGTCACTGAGTCTGCTCAGGTAGCAGCGTCGGGTCAGGTGTTTGCTGCGGCGTCCAGGTCTGGTCCTGAGTCTGCCCCCTGCTCGTGTCGTCTCCTGTCCCACCGGACTCTCCTCTGGCACCACCGCCTTGGTCACCCCTCCCTGCCTCGTCTTCGAGGCATGGCGTCCCGTCTTCTTGTCTCTGGCCTCCCCCGGTCCCTCCCTCCCCTTCCTCCGGGGCCTGCCCCCACCTGCGTTCCCTGCGTCGAGGGGCGGCAGCGCGCTGCCCCTCACTCCTCCGAGTTTCCTCCGACAGAGGCTCCGCTGCAGACGCTTCACATGGACGTGTGGGGCCCAGCCCGCGTCCGTGGACAGGGTCAGGAGCGTTACTTCCTGCTGGTGGTTGACGACTACTCGCGTTACACCGCAGTCTTCCCCTTGCGCAGCAAGGGTGACGTCACTGAGGTGTTGATCGCCTGGATCCGCGCGGCTCGTCTCCAGCTCCAGGAGAGTTTCGGCTCCGACTTTCCTGTTCGGCGTCTGCACTCCGACAGAGGCGGAGAGTTCTCCTCTGACCTTCTGCGGGCCTTCTGTCGCGCACGAGGCATCCGCCAGACCTTCACGCTTCCGGACTCTCCGCAGCAGAATGGGATTGCTGAGCGCCGCATCGGCATGGTCATGGACGTCGCTCGTACGTCCATGATCCATGCGGCTGCTCCCCATTTTCTGTGGCCGTTTGCGGTTCGGTACGCGGCGCATCAGCTCAACCTTCACCCCCGGGTCTCCATGCCGGAGACCTCCCCTGCTTTGCTGTGGACGGGGAAGGTTGGTGATGCGTCGCGTTTCCGGGTCTGGGGATCTAGGGCGTTTGTCCGCGACTTGTCTGCGGACAAGCTGTCCTCTCGTGCTGTTCCCTGCGTCTTCCTTGGCTTTCCCCCTGACGCGCCAGGCTGGCAGTTCTACCACCCCACCTCGCGCCGTGTCTTCGCGTCTCAGGACGTCACCTTTGACGAGTCGGTTCCCTACTACCGTCTCTTCCCCTACCGCACTGCGTCCCTCCCTCCCCCGCCGCTCTTCCTTACGCCAGGTCCCCCTCCGGTAGACCCCCTCCCCCCTCAGGGTCCTGCTCCCTCAGGTGTGTCCCAGGTAGATGCAGTTGAGCCAGTCGAGGTAGCTGTTGACTCTGGTGCTGCTGGTGGTGCTGAGCCTGGGGGTGCTGGGTCTGGGGGTGCTGCGACTCAGAGTGCGGAGCCTGAGGGTGCTGGACCTGCTCGTCTGGCGTCTGGTGGTGCTGAGCCTGACAGTTCTTCGGGTGCTTCGTCCCGGCGGGAGCTGCTCTCTCCACAGGAGCTGCGTGAGTGGTTCGCCCGGCGCTGGCGACGTGCTGCTGGAGCTGGTGGTGCTGCAGGAGCTGGAGGTTCTACTGCTGCTGAGAGTGCTGGTGCCGAGGGTCCCAGAGGTGCTCGTACCGAGTGTACTGGAGCTGCTGGGCCTACGGGTGCTCCTCCTGCTGGAGCTGGTGGTGCTGCTGGTGCTGCTGGCGTTGGTGCTGCTGGTGCTCCTGGAGCTGGGGCTGCTGGTGCTGCTGGTCCTGCTGGAGCTGGAGCTGCTGGTGCTGGAGCTGGTGGTGCTACTGGTGCTGCTGGCGTTGGTGCTGCTGGTGCTCCTGGAGCTGGAGCTGCTGCGTCTTCGGGTGGTCCGGCTGGAGCTGGAGCTACTGGGGGTGTTGGCGCTGGGGGTGCTCCTGGCGCTGGTGCTGCTGAGGGTGCTGGAGTTGGAGCTGCTGGAGCTGCGGGTCCTCCTGGTGCTGGTGCTCCCGCTGGGGGCGCTGGTGCTGTTCCTGCTGGCACTGGTGGAGCTACGCGGCCGCGGCCGTACTTCGTTCCGCTCCTTGAGCAGGTTCTTGGTCTTCCGTCCTCTCTTGGTCCTGCTCCTCCCTTAGCGTGTCCGCCTCCTGTCCAGTCTGAGTCACAGTTACAGCCTCTTTCCCCGCTTCCTTCTCCTTCTCCCTACACTGGTCCTACTGGAGGTCTTGCTGAGCGTCGTGAGCCTGCGTCTCGCCCTGCGTCGCCTGTCCGCGCTGCTCGCACTAGTGGTCGTGGTTCACGTCAGCGTCCTCCCCCTGTCCCCGGCACGCACCGGATGTCTCTGCGTCCTTCCACTGCTCCGCTGCGTGCCCCTTTGCCCTCTCCTCCCGCGTCCTCTCTTCCTGAGCTTCCTGACCCGGAGTCGGACTCCCTTCGTGCTGCGCGTCCTACTGTCACGCGTCTCCTTGCTACTGTCGTCACTGACCCTTCCTTTGAGTCTACTGCTGCGTCTGCCCTAGTTGCTGAGCTTGTCGACTTCGCTGCTCGCTGTCGCCTAGACTACGCTACCAGTCTCGTCGCTGAGTCTGAGTCTGTCTGTCCTCCGTCCGTCGGGGGTGAGTGTGCTCTTGGCACGGACGTCCTAGAGGACAGGCAGGAGGAGTTCCAGTGCTTGGCTGCTGCTTCACCTCATCTCGTGTCCATGCTGCTTGCCCCTGAGGGAGACCCGGATGCACTTGACATCCCGACTCCGCGCTCTTACGCGGAGGCGATAGAGGGTCCCTACTCCTCTCAGTGGCAGGCAGCCATGGACGCAGAGATGGCTTCCTGGAAGTCCACAGGCACCTACGTTGACGAGGTTCCCCCGCCTGGGGCGAACATCGTCAGTGGCATGTGGATTTTCAGGGTGAAGCGGCCGCCGGGTTCTCCGCCTGTCTTCAAGGCGCGTTACGTGGCTCGTGGCTTCAGTCAGCGGCAGGGAGTTGACTACTTTCAGACCTTCTCCCCCACCCCGAAGATGATCACTCTTCGGGTACTGCTGCACATAGCTGCTCACCGAGACTACGAGCTGCACTCTCTTGACTTCAGCACTGCTTTCTTGCAGGGCAGCCTGCACGAGGAGATCTGGCTGCGCCGCCCACCTGGCTTCACTGGGACGTTTCCTCCTGGCACCCAGTGGAGCCTCCGGCGGCCAGTCTACGGTCTCCGCCAGGCGCCTCGTGAGTGGCACGACACACTGAGGACTACACTTGCGGCCCTTGGGTTTGCTCCTTCTACTGCCGACCCGTCGCTGTTTCTGCGCACCGACACCTCTTTGCCGCCGTTCTACATCCTCGTGTACGTCGACGACTTGGTCTTTGCTACAGCTGACACTGCTGGACTTGCCTACGTGAAGTCCGAGCTGCAGAAGAGACACACGTGCACAGACCTGGGTGAACTGCGCAGCTACCTTGGCTTGCAGATCACCCGGGACAGAGCACAGCGCACCATTACCCTGACTCAGTCACACATGGTGCAGCAGGTCCTTCAGCGCTTCAGCTTCACGTACTCCTCGCCTCAGTCCACTCCTCTGCCTACACGCCACTCGCTCTCAGCTCTGCCTTCGGATGAGTCCGTAGAGTCGAGTGGCCCGTACCCAGAGCTTGTCGGCTGCCTCATGTACCTGATGACCTGCACTCGACCTGACCTTGCATACCCTCTTAGCATTCTGGCACGCTTTGTTGCTCCTGGGAGACACAGACCAGAGCACATGGCTGCAGCGAAGAGGGTGTTGCGCTACTTGTGCAGTACGTCAGGCATGGGGCTTGTGCTTGGAGGGCATAGTTCAGTGGTCCTCACTGGTCACGCAGACGCTTCTTGGGCTGACGACCAGGCTACGCAGCGGTCGTCACAGGGTTATGTCAAACATTGCATGTTTATATTATGTAGGCTGTAGTGGGTTACACCTTAGGGGGTACTCAAAGTTAGGGTTTCCTACTTGTACCAAACTCTGTGCTAGTTCATTCCATTCCTGCTCAGTTATTCTGACATGGTATCAGAGCAGGTCCATCGCTA